TTCTATGAAAGACCAAAACAACGAATTCTACACGAGGGGAACGGAAATTGGCAAAGCTTCCAGCGGAGCGTTTGCTATAATCAAGTTTATGTTTATGCTTGCATATCCACGCGTTGCCAAGCTGTTCGGTATGTCAGGCTTTGTCCCAGAGCCTACATCCGAGTTTTTCAAGAAGATTGTTGGAGAGACCATCAGAACTCGAGAGGCGCAAGGTATCGTCAGGCCTGATATGATTCACTTACTAATGCAGGCTCGAGATAAGGACGGTGCTGACAATCCGAAAATGACGTTGGACGACATCGTTTCTCAAGCTTTCATCTTTTTCTTGGCCGGTTTTGAAACATCTTCGATACTGATGTGTTTTATCGCTCACGAGCTGGCGGTTAATCAAGATATTCAAGATCGCTTGCGCGAGGAAGTGCTGCAAAATCTCGAAGGAAACGAGATATCTTACGAATCACTGTCGAAGATGACTTATATGGACATGGTGATTTCCGAGACGCTCCGAAAATATCCACCAGTGATTACTACCGATAGACTTTGCACTAGGAGTTTCGAACTGCCTCCGTCGGGACCGGGTTACAAGGGCATCACTGTCGAACGTAATCAAATAATAATGATACCTGTTTACGGTTTACATCGTGATCCCAAGTACTATCCGAATCCGGAGAAGTTTGATCCCGAAAGATTCAGTGAAGAGAACAAAGACAACATTAATCCGTATACTTACTTGCCTTTCGGACAGGGACCTAGAAAATGTATCGGCAACCGATTTGCTCTGATGGAGACCAAGATTCTGGTGGCTAATCTTTTACAAAAATTTATTCTGAAGAGAACGGACAAAACTGTTGAACCTGTTATATTTGATAAAGAGAATTCAATCCGCAACCTAATGGCGGATTCTGGATCAGCTTAGAGAAAAGGGAAATGCGATGAGCTAATGAAATACAGTAATTATTTTCTGATAATTGTAAAACGTCATTGTCACATTTAAATCTTTGCAGAAGTTTAATCGTTTTTCATTTTTCAGTTTTCGAAGACGGTTGAAGTCTGTGATTTGCATTACGTCACTATTGTGTCATATAAATATTAAATAAAGTTTATATATTTTTATTGTAGTTAATTTTATATATATTTGATATTCTATCTTTATTGCGTTATTAAACCTTTGACTGTAGGAAATGAGAATCTTATGAGGAATTTTTTCATGACCTTCGTTGACTCTCGATTCCACTTATTCAAATCACGGTATTTAATAACTTAATGCGTAATTCGTTTTTTGTCGACAAATAACGTACTATGTATGCTTATTGTTGACTCTTTATTATGTTTATAAGAAGAAATCATTTATCAGTGCACAGGTATATTTTATATTTTATTATTTTCAATATATTTTTATTTATTTTTCATTATTTTTATTAGATTAAATCAATATTTGTTTAATTTGTAATATATAAAACTTTATTCTCTCAAAATTTATATAATAATATAATTAATAGCTTTATCGTAATATTATATTTATAAAAGCATTAAAATTTGTAATGTTTTCGAATATTATATATAATCAGAATTTTTAAAGTGGAAAATCATTATGGATCAAATCAAGATAGAAGAATCATTATTTTTATGAAATTTTATAAAAATAGTAATGTAAGATGTAAACAAAGTGCTTGATACTTTTTAAACATTTCAAAGATTAGTAGTTGGATTAATTAATTCGTCATCTTGAATTAAATCGTATAAAATTCAATTGTGTGTGTATGTGTGTCTGTGTGTTATGTGTGTGATTGATAATATTGTGTGATACAATATTTAAATAACGCAGATTATTTTATCAGGATATTCGGATATTTGTTAGGAATTTACTGTGGATATGATTTGTTTGAAAAATATTTTATTGTTGGAAATATTATTTAAGAAATAATATCAGATTTTATTGATTAAGAAATATTTATTTATTTTATGTGGAAAATATCACAAATTATTGAAAGGAGACGAAGTTTTCTTCATTAATAATTTTATATTTTGGAAATAATCTGTCATAACATTTATGAATGGATTTTGGTACGTTTAAAATGAAACTGACGCAGCAGCGCGATCACTGATGCATCGCTTTATCATATATAACCATGTTTTGTGGGAGACTGTTTCTCTTCTCTCCTCTTTCTTCCCCTGTTTCATAATAAGATATGCGTTCATATTTACATATTCTACGTTTAGTCCGAAATAGCCATTCGTTAATTTATTATCTACACTTGACTATGGAATTATTTTCGTGTCTATTTTCATCGTCTTTTGCGATGTATATTTTAATGCGACATGTATATTTTTACTGGAAGAACAAAGATGTTCTTTATTTGCCCCATTTATACTCTTTTGTAATCTTTTGATGTACATTACTTCCCGAATGCTAGGTATTATGGAACTATGGATTTTGCGCCACCAGTCGTATTTCTGCGCGATCCTGAACTGATCAAGGCTGTTATGATGAGGCAATTGGATGTTTTGATAAAGGTGCTATTTTGTTGCAATTTCATTGCGAGAAGAGAATGATAAGATAATGAATGTAAAATAAGCCAAAGTATATAATTGCAATAATATTCAAACTTGGAAACCACAATCGCACAAATGTAATTCATTTTTTGATATATATCGGGTATTTTCTTTTTCCTGTTTTCATTTTTCATTAATTATTTAAAAATATACATATATATATTTATGTACTTTGTTTTCGCCTTTGTAATAATTTTTTTACCTATCAAAAAAATTTTTTTAATTAAAATTACGTAAATCTCGAGCACTTTAACTTGGTTTTATATTTATTAACTTTGTGAATAATTAGTTTTAAAAATTAATATATATATGGATATATATATATATATATATATATATATATATATATATATATAATACACAATCCTGTAAAGTGGACTTAATTGATATACAGTTAACGTTTGGAAAGATGCGATGAAAATGAATTAGAATTAATAAACGATTAGCTTTTAATGTGTAATTTTCTTGAGCACAATATTTCTCAAGCAAGATCTGCACATTATTTTTAACTTAGAATTTAATTGTAGATGAGTCGTTCGAAGAGCTTTGATTCCAATTTAATTGATCCTCGCCGTTTTTTTTTCGTAAGTTTGACAAATTGAAAATGGCGCGTGCTTAGTGATTTTTTTCACGGTCTGTACGGGAGTTAGCTTAAAAAAGAAAAAGCGGAAAGGGAAACTTGAAAGTTTAAACAGCGGCGACGAGGGAGGTTATTTTCGCAGGTTAATCGTTTGAAATACAAATTTGCATAGAAAAACAGCGCGAGGGGCAGCATATTTCCTTCATCCATCTGCGAGTTTCGGATGTTGGCCAACATTTATTCTATATATATTTTGTTCACATATTTATTATTATGCTAGTTTGTTTTCGTTAATAGTGGCTGTTAAGTAGTTTTCTCTTTTTCTTCTTCTTTTTCCTTTCTTTTTCTCGTTATATATTTTTTCAAGAATGTGTATAAATCATAATTTTGAAAACCATATAAATTATTCAACCAAAAACCATGTGTTTGATTATACGAATAAGACATCAAATAGTTTTAACGATACGAATAAAATATTAAAATGTTTCATTGAATTAAAATAATTTATGCTTTACGTTGGAAAGTATAAAATTATCTCTTAGCATATTATTCATATATAATCAGATTAGGAGTGGATGAAAATTGCATTATTATTTTTTATCACTCTTGAAATTTTAACATAAAACTGAAACTTCTTAATTTGCATTTGAATGCTTTTCTAAGAAACTTGCATCAGATTGTCAAACGTAGAACGTGATTGAACTGGAAAATAAGATGTTTATTTTCTGCGAAAATTAAAAATGCATAATTCTATATAAACTTTATATTAAACTTCTTTGTTATTAAACAGATTTCGTCGAATCGATATAACTTAGTTACTTAGACACGAGCTTTACATATATACAGTGTATGAAGTGTAATGAAGGGTATATATACGTACATATTCGGTCTAATTAGAAGCGCGAAAAACGGGTGGAGCATCGGGTGTGAATATAAGAAAAGAGAATAAACGTAAGATACACGTGTGGCCCTGGTTAGAAAAAGTATTATCCGGGACAGAGGACGAAGGATCGCGCGGCAAGTTTTAATAACCAGAGCTTGGAGAGAGTTAGTGGACGATAAGTTAAAATCTAAAATTCATTAAATTGCAAGGTGTGCGTCGCGCAAATTTGCAAGATACGATATCGCATGTTTCTCCTATAAAAAGACGCGGTTCAAGTGCAGAACAAGTGACGGTATTAACTTTTTAATTGCTTTGTTGCACCCATGGCGGGAACGATTATGAATTTTTAATTCCGTCTGCTCTCGAGTTCTGGTTTTTTTACTACGATTTTTCCTCGAGCCAACCGATATTGTAGATTATCCGAAAGTATCGTAAACGCAAAAAATTGTCGCGCTCTTAAATCAATTCTGAATCTCTGCGCGATCTTTTATAACAACAAAATGCTTTCTCGATGGGTTACACAAGATTAGCGTTACATCTATTCCTTTGGATATATTTATCCGAGAGATGTGCGCGAGAGATAAATCAATACGAGGTATACGAGAAGCGACTTAAAGTGTCGATAGAAAGTTTCGTGGAATTTAAATCAGGATTGACGAAGTTTCGAAATTAATTCGTATCAAGCTTTGAGTCGACTCGTCGAACGCGACGCGATTCCTTCACGGGGTGTTGCTGAACTTATGTAATAACCTTCCGCTCGCGAAGTCCTCACCACGATGTGCCTGATAAATATTAAATTCAAGTCGTTTCTCGACCGGAATAACGATTTCCACGTAGCATCCTATCGCGAGCGATAAATTTACGCGCGATGACGTGTATATGTGTGTATGTAGTTTTGAAATGATAAATTATTATAATGTTCTCTCTTTTTATGCTTCTTAATATACATAATATTTTCAAATCTGTTTGCTCTGTCTGTTTCAGTTGATCTCATACAAATGCTGGAGTTTAACTTAATTGTCTCGTTGCCGGCGGCTTCCTTATTGACAGTAATTTTGGCATTAGTGGGTAAGTTATTATCTATCTTTTATTTGTTTCAAGGAAAAATTAATAGAGCAAAGTGGAATTTTTAAATTAAGAATATAAATTACGGAGAGTATAATTGTTTAAAAATAAAATTCAAATGTATATAAAAAGTTGGTCCAAAATTCCTCAGAATGTCGAATAGCATTTGCATGTCTATTGTGCTTTTACATTCAGGTGCAAATGTGGATTTTCGTGGATTTTCGGGCACGGCAATTTTTCGGAGAATTCTCTATAAAAAAAGAGATTCCGTGAAAGGGCGATCCGTTTCAGCCGGAATAAACAATCAACGACGACTTTTCGGACAGAGAACACGTTGAAGTTTGGTCTCGGGACGGGCGCGTGAAATATTAAATACCTTTTTACTAAATCAGAGCCGCGCGCGTGCCCTCGCTCTCTCTCTCTCTCTCTTGTCGGTAGGACGTTAGCTCCGTTACAAAGCTGATTGGCCGGGACGGTTAACCCAGGATTCTGCATAAATTTCTGATGAAGGCGCAACAGTTGGGTAACCCGCTCCGGAGCCCATTTAGCAGAGCAGCATTGGCGGCGACGTCCATGTCGCCCATTTCCATTTCACCTCGAATATCCACCTCTTCGCGTGTGTCCAATTGACCCGCATAAAATACGACATACGCTAATCGGCCTGTCCGCCCGGATCTCTCGGAAACATTGATAAAACTGGATTTACAATCTTGGTTTCTCTCCCGTTCTCGCTTTTCGTACAGAGTACGTACATATATATACGAGATTGTTTCCCTCGACACGAAAGCCACGAGTGCCTCTCTCTCTTTCGGTCGTTAACGAGTTTTAATGGTCAATCCCTGTTCCTGTAACCCGCGAATGCTCTCGCGTTTAAAGTTTCTTCCTGCGATAACGCGATTGTAAAACGTTAGATTATCACCGGTTTTATGATTTTAAGCTGGAGCTTTATTTTCCAGCTTATGCCCGACGCGAGTATATTTAAGCCTAGATATTTCTAATTCGTGTCAAGTGTTCTCGAGACCCTGTCTCTCTCTCTCTCTCACCGCGTGTATAATGCGATATTTTCATCTTATTTCAATGATACAGTTGTCGGTTGTTAGTTTTGGACGAACCCAGAACTGTAGTCATCAGATTTCGATAAAAATTGCCAATTTATATGTAGCCCGATATGGGGAGTCCATTCATTTATATACCACCAGTTGCGCGGTCAACAGGCAGCCGAGCGAAATGGCAACAGAAGTGGTAAATTTCCGGATCCGCACTCTCTCTCTTTCCTCTGTGTTGCGAGGATTGCCGAGGATCGTATGTACAAAAATCGAAATATATTTATATATATATATATATATATACATTATATATATATGTATATACGTATATATGTATGTACATACATCGAGTCAGGCAAGTCCGTAGTTGGAAGGAAGCAAGAGAAGGAAAGGAGGGAGCCTTAGGGAAGTTGTTATCTGGAGTAATAGGTTCCGGTTCCTGTATCGCTTCCTGCTCTCCATCCGTCATCACGCGGCTCTCTCAGCCTCCCAAACCTTTCACTCCTTCGCCGCATGTTGCCTTTGGAAAAGGGAGCGGGAAAAGGAGGAGTCAAAGAGGATATATCGTTACTTGTTGTTTCCTTTTCCAGTATTTCTGTATTTCTTTTTCTTCGCTCTTCTCGATTTCTTGCGATAATAAGCATAGGAAGCGTAAGATGAAATCGCGACTCCGAGATATATATTTTCGAGTTTCCTCGGAACAAATTTTTTTTTCCTTTTTGAGAATATATTTCCCCTTGGGAATATCCTTGTACATATCATCGATGCTCCATTTGGCTTGTTGAAAAAAATTTAGCAAGAGAGACCCTTTTTCTTCCATCGACCCTTTTTAAATTGGATATTAAAGCGAGAGATTTTGTTGTACTTATTTTATATTTCTCAGGAGAATCTTTCGAAATTTCTTTACGTTCGCATTTTCAGATTTGATATCCGCCGTCGTTTTCGGCTATTCTTTTCCAATATTCCGGTGCCCGTCGCGTCGTCGGCGTCGTCGACGATGGGCAGTATTTTGTCTGACGGTATATTGTCGCTCGCTCATCGGCCCTGAATTCACGTCAAATCGTCCACGCGTCGTTCGGCATTTGGCATTAGGTGGGAGACGTGGAAGACGATTTTGCATAATGGAACGTCAAAGAACGAAGGCACCCCGGCGCCTCTGTGCATCAGTGACGCATGATCGACCGCCTAACACGCTGTAAACACATTTTCAGAGACGGTCAGAACACGTTGCACCCGTTGCCATTCCGTTTATCTGCTTACAACGTCGACACGGGGCTCCGCCCGTATAGCATATTAGCATATTTTATACAGGCGCGCGCGAGAGTTCTCCAACGTTTGTTGGATTAAAGCGGATGGGCTTTAATCGCCGTTGGACTGGAACCGCGATAAAAACGCAAAAAATTCCAATTGCGAGTTTATATAGAGTACAACATGCGGAATGGGTATAATTGACGGATCATTTAAAAAATGCGAATTATTTTGGGAGGAATGAGATGTTTCCACGCAGCTACACCAGAGTGTCTACCGTTAGAGAAATTTATCACTACACAGAGAGAATTTTTTCTTAGAATTTACACCCGAAAATCGTGCGACAATATGATGTTGGAAGAATCTTATATAAGAGTTCATCTGATTAATATTTATCGCAAAAAATATTAATATGTACATATAGTAAAATTTACTAAGAAAGAAATTTACAAAGAACATGATTATAAGTTCCAATAATCACTTATTTTGGGTATACAGTAATTTAAGTACTCGAAATAAATGATTATTTGGACTTGCTAGTGATTTTCTATAAGGGTAGCGATCAGGGAAATCTGGAAAACCGGGCATTGCAGGCAATTTTATAAATCTGGAATTGTCAAGGAAAAGTCAGGAAATTTTACCATTTATCTGGATTTTTCCACGTTATTCTACATTTCTCTCAATAATTTGAAATTTTTTATTAAATTAATCTAAACTTTTCCTGGACTCCCAGCACGCTAATTTTCTGTGTTGTTAAAAATCGATTCCTCTACAGCGTGTTCGTTAATTTATATTTTCATCGTCGTGTTATTTTATTTCAATGTGTTAGATAGAGACAAAACTAAAAAATTCGATATAATATAAATAAGAAAGTTGATTATTTAGATTAGTGACATGTTTGTTTCGATTATCGTACATAATGCAGATTGTATAATTGATTAAAATTTTTTTTTATCTTCCGAACTCTTTCATTATTGACAAAAAATCTCAAGAATTTCCTGATTTAACATTTAATTGATTTATTATATAGATATATGCAAATTATATATTTGGAAAAAATAATAGTAAAAAATCAAGGAAAACATGAATTTCTGGTCTTGGATAATCTGAAAAAGTCAAGCAATTTTTTCAATGAGTCTGCTGGACGTTCTGTACACATTCAAATTTTTGTAACGCGAGGAACAGATGATGTAATAATCCTCGCTGATGTGTACGAGGCGTCGACGTGTGCCACGGACTTGGCTTACAATTAGATGATGCGATCGCTAGACCAGATTAAACCATAGTCTACATCCCAGTTCTCTCCCTCTCCGGCTCTAAAGCCGTTTCTGGTACAATGTAGCATCAGCAGAGAGAGCGAAGATCTTAGTAGAGCGGCGGATAATTTGATCGGGATCCGCTACTCTACGATACGTTGCTCTGCTCCTCGACGGTTAATACGAGTTCCTGATTGGTCCTTGACTAAATCTTCCGTGCTTTGACGAGCATGATTTCACTTCTAATTATTTCACGTCAACAGTCACTCCGCGAAAGGAGGATCTGCGAGTGTATTTCCGATGGGGAATTCCGACTCGTACGAGTTTGTATCTGAGATCCTTATTAGTAACAGATCTACGAAACGATCTTTGGTATATAAACTATTTTTTGAAATTTACGTTTTTTTTTCTTACGTCGTTGGTAGTAATTGCAAAATAGCAATTCTCGGCGAAAGAATTCCAGAAGGATCCAGCCGCTTGCATTCATTCGCGTTCGATCAAAGCCAAATACGCGTTCAATATCACGTCCGATCAGGCTCAAACGTGTTCGCGGTGGTCGGTCAGCGGGAAATATTATGTCCATTAGAGGGATGGAGATGGGGGATGGGGATTCTGCCGTGGAATATTGGCACCGGCCGGACTCTACTCGATGCCGATGACACGTGAGCGATGGCCGTACACAGTTGACCATTGATTAACCACATTATTAGCTCTTCAGAAAGCGTGCGACGCACATTCCAATATTATTTCGTCATGTATGAAAATTTTGCGCGAATATATACGCGCGCGTTCGAATCGTCTCTAGCTCTTCTCTTCTCGTTTTCTATCCGAAAATAATAGACTGATTTTATTTTTACTCTTATTAATTGCCAGCGGCGTTCAGTTTCCAGTTATTCTTTCAAATTGACAGGAACAAATAATGTTATTTATAAAATCCCAGCTCGATCACGCTCGATTGGCCGACGATGAGTTTCGGTGAACCGTGATCAACAATACGTGTCGGCAAATTATGCGAAAGCGGTCGCGTATACACGCGATCTCGAATTAGTTATGATTCATGAACTCGCTAGTTAGAGTCCGGCAATTGGAAAACAGCACCGTTCCAAATTTCGCACGTTTATCGGCAATATACATTTCATTTTAATCATCTAGACACTCGCAATTATCGAATTGCACTTTCGCTCGAAGAGCAAAGATTCTTTTTTTATCGTTCATGAGATTGCTGTCAACGGCTTATTGTCTAATTAACTCTGTCGCGATTACGAAATCTTCCGATCCCTATCTTCGGAGAAAAATGCGGTAACATAAATCGTAGCGTGCAATTTCAGCGTTATACGAGAGATTATTGGACCGTCGGTTGTTGGAATTTGAACGTCTCTTTATATAAAAATTGAGAAGGCTAAAAGAGACGGGGATGAGATCGGGAGTTGGACGGCGAAATCGCGTTTAGAGGCTTATCTGCACGGTGAGGTAATGCTCGGCTAGTATGCATTTAAACGAGTGCATTATCCGATGCTAACGATCCTTTGGTGACGGACACCTAACTGATTCATGACACCGCCAGGTTGTTAGCAAAATCGTTCTACTGGATTTCACATGTGCATTACCTTCATTCTTAATTAATGAATCGGTTACACAATCGTAAATGTTTCTTTTTTCCATTTTTTTTTTGAATTAATATTTTTTAATATCAGATTTATTAACTAACTTTGTAATAAAAAAAGTTTTGGCTCGTATAAATTCAACAAATTGATAAAAGAAAGTCCAATTAAAACGAGCTACCTTTATTCAGGATGTCAAACAAAATTTATTATTACGAATAGATTAGTTTTATCTGTCTCTTAAACATATCAATATAATTATATTTGTAACATTGAATAATTTGATTTATTATGCATCAATTGTAAAATTTAATGTATTGAGAAAGACTGTTGTACAGTCGGAACGTATATAGTTGCAATAACTTGTTTGATGTGTTTCTGTTCGCTATAATACATTTTGTTTGACATCCTTGAAATATTTAGGAAAAATGCATTTAAATAATATAAAACTTTTGATCTTCGAAAAGAACAAATCGATGAAAAATATCGAAAGAAGAATCTATAGAGGAGAGTAAAGAGACGCGATAATTTGCGGGTAGGTTTTCGCACATTTGTAAGAATCCCAATGCGAGTCCAACATTACGTTACAATAGCGGCATAAGTGATTTTTCTTTTCTTCGCGAGACAATCGGCCCGCCCTCGGGTCTCTTAAGAAGTAATTTCTCACGTTGTCGTGTCGTTCCTTTTCCCTCCTTCCGAGGGCTGTCAGACCACGTCTCTCGGTCGATTTGTACTTTTGTACATCCCGGTACATCCTGGCAAAAGGATATATACGAACGACGTGGGCCCGGCTCATTAGCATTCCCACGGCGTTGTTTTCTTTCACGTGTACCACGTCGCGTTGTGTGTCCGATCGAGAAACTAATTATCTAACGTCGCGCCCTTAGTCTCGGGATCATCCATCCTTGCGGGGTTTTGCGTCTGCGAGCACCTTCATCTACCACTGCCACGATCATCCTTCGCGCGTAATATACCCGGCTCTCTCTCTCTCTCTTGCGAGAGAACATTTTTCGAAAACCGACTACTTGGATCCAATACTCGATTCGACCACGTGCGCGAGCGTAAATAGAGGGACGTAGCAATCGGGGACGAGAATGCTTTTCTTTGCTCTTTCGCGATCTCCGTGTGTCATGTTTACTCTGCGCGTCGAGGCTTAAAGCGATTCATTACTCGGCTATTATCTTGGATCAATTTTTTCAGGTGTTGTTTTTTTACAAAGATGTAAAGATGGAGAGAGAGAGAGAGATATTGTGTGGATATTGAGTCGTTAGCAGTTTTATGGTAGCATGACGAGTAGGTCATTATCATGAATATTAAAACTAAGGATTGTAACAAATAAGTTTGACACGCATGAACGAATACGGAGTGGAGCAGATCGCTAATTACAGACATTAGATACAAGGATGATTTCGATTTTAATAGAACACAACAGTTAATTGACGGTAAAGCGACTGAAAAGACACGAGTGAGTGTCGAAACGTCTCGCATATGTTTTTAGATTTATTAAAATGGTTTCATGTTGACGTATTATCACGGATAATTAGTATGTAACCTATTTTCGTAATGAATTCATAACTTGTTTTCGTAATTTTTATTTAATAAACGATTCATTAATATATACACGATTATAATTTGCATCTTTTATTTTGTACCTGTCTTTTATGTTATAATAAATATTAGTGTTGTTATTTAAAAAAAAAATATATATATATATATTTTTTTTTTGCCAAAATTCGTCTCGTTATATATCGCGAGTATATAATCAACAAATCGACACGCGAAGTAAGTATAATTTCTTCTCAAAAGTAAAAAATAACAATACTAATATTTATTATAACATAAAAGACAGTTACAAAATAAAAGATGCAAATTATAATGCAAAAAAAAAATATATATATATATATTTTTTTTTGCCAAAATTCGTCTCGTTATATATCGCGAGTATATAATCAACAAATCGACATGCGAAGTAAGTATAATTTCTTCTCAAAAGTAAAAAATATATAATTATATATATATATATATCGACGAAAGACGTATAAATCGTATCCCGATTCTTCCCGTCGCGGAGGAAAACCTTCAGCATTGCCATTAATCAAGTCTTAGCCGACGTACTTCAACTTGGTCGTTTTCGCACTTTCGTGATCCGGCCAGGGCACGCCCTACAATACTTTTGTCATTTCCGCACGGTTTCCCATGGGTGCTCGTATCGTTACAATCCATTAGGAAGCACGCTAGAGAATATATCGTATACATATGTATTTCGCATGTGTTTACATCGTTCCCGGTTACGTTCCCATTTTATAATTCGCCGTAATATTTCACTCGTTAAGTAAGATTGAACGTTTAACGTTCGCGGAATGATAAGATGAATCGATGCGACGCATCGTTTTTATGCACATCAATTAATGGCGTCGTGCGTTAATTTCGTGCGACACGAATCTCCCTTGTTGCAGTTTTAATTGCTGCGGAAACTATCCGATATTAATAGCATCGAACATTAATATATATTGGTTAAATCTAATTATGAAGTAATTATCCTTTTTTATAAATTCACAAACTATTTATGTATTGATAACAATTTTAATTATATTTTGCATGTTTATATAATATATGATATATCGATATCGCTAAAAGATTATGAACTTGAGATCAATTATGGTATAGACAAATCATAACTATGACGATATCGAATCTTTAAACGACGGAATATTTATTATATCTTGTTACTCGTAACGTTCAAATTTTAATATTGTTTGATGACGAATGCAGTTGAAACTTGATTAAATATATTGCGATTTATATGCATATATGTTTGATTATTATAGAGAGAGTGAGACTTTCTATTAAATAAGCGTAACAATGTGTTTGTATGTGTGCGTTATCATTAATATACTTCCACTTTTTCCTCTCGCCATATATTTTCTACCAATCATCTGCATATATATAATGGACAAAGACAAAATATATGCGCTATATTTTATACGTTATGCTTTTCGCGTTTTATGATCGCAATTTGTGAATGTCCGATTTCAAATACCGAAAAAACAGGCCTCATCTTTAACATGAAATATTAAGAGAAAATACTTTTCCTTGATATTACTCACCGCATATTTTTTTTTTTTTATTTTCCAGGAATGGAGGCGCTTATGTCCGAATTTTTCAATGACACAACCACCGCGTTTTACATAATCTTGATAGTGTGGCTTGCCGATCAATACGATGCCATCTGCTGCCATACAGCTCTGACGAAGAGGCATTGGTTAAGGTAGGTGGCTACGACTTCTTTATCCAAAATTTGGATAATATCGAATACCTTTTCGCCTTTTTTTTGCGAAATTATCACGAGCAATGAAAGATTCATTTAATAAAGGAAAAACATATGATTAAAGCGTTTCCGGAAAACACACAGAGAATGATATCCGGACAGCATTTAATTAAAAAGAATTAAGTTGCATTAAAGTAAAGAGTGAATTCTTGTCGGACGTGGTAGCGAGCAATCTTTAATCGCTTTAATCCGATAGCCTTGGCTGGCTGTGGCCGAAACATCTGCTCCGATAAATCTCTTTTGAAAATAGATTCATTCGAAATACATCGAGATAATCGAATTCGCTTTATAATCGCATGGAAGCTATTTTTACGTGTAGCGTTTGTTTTACATGCTTATGTATAGAGTATCTTGACACCCATCGAATGTCTTAAAAAAAAAAAAAAAAAAAAAAAACAATTTAACAGATTCTCTCTGGCTAATTTAAAATGGATTTTCCTTAGCGAAAATGCCGAAGAAAGTCATATTAGTTTTGGCAATTTTTTTCTATCATATATCTTTGTAATCGAGTCTCAAATTAAAATTCTATTAAAGCAAACTTCATCTAAAGTTAACTGCAGTAATTTTGTTAATCTTTTAACTTGAAAAAGTTTGCGGAAAGCATCCTTCTTTTTCAATCGCTTATAACTCGGAAATTATTGATGTCTCGATAATTTTAGTAGATGAAAAATTATCTCCAAATTGATTAGGAAATGAAAAAGGATTTTGAGACACTTTATATATAACGTGTAGTCTTAAAATTGATACAATGTTGTCACGCATACATATACTAATCCGATTGATTGAAATTTCCTGATTCTTGTGCGAAGCCGTAAATATCCAGGAGTCTAATTAGGAGGACATTTGTTATTATGAATGTTCTGGCGAATATACATACGTTCGCACAGATCGTATCCCTAATCATTGACGTATCCTCGTTGTACGATTAACGTGAGCTCGATCAATCGGATTTGAGCGCCCTTTCTATACGGAGCTGCCCGTTGATCTGTGGTTATAAACGCGCGACGATCGATGCACATTCCACAAACATCGAACGGCAATTCCCTGGATTCAGCAATCCAGTTGATCCTATATAGAGACGTCAAAGCGAGGTCGAGCTGAGAACTTCGCAATAGAAATCGGGCTTTGCGCTCAGCGTGGCTTAGATCTCTGAGAAGCAACGACTGTACCGCGAGGCAATTTCCCTGGACGAACGAAGGGTAAGACCGAAACATTAGAGACATTAGGTGACGATTAAACAAAGCTGTCGCCAACGACGAACTTACACTGATCCTGGAAGTCCTGGATTCCCTCGGACTCGGACGCTCTAAGCAATGATATCGGATTATATTATTATCGGAGGTTCCCGTTTTCACGGACCTATTTCCAACTTCTTAATAGGTACATCTTTGCAAAGATTGGAGATGTAGAAAAATTGCATTTTCCCCTTAAAACTGTCTCTTTTTACAATGCAAAAAATGTTTGTGAGGGGATTTAAATATTCTTTAAGAAGGAAAACAAGATTGTATGTATCGCCTCTCCGTCTATATCTTCTCAAACACTTGGAAAATTCCTTGCTAATGCTTCGTATAATTCTACTTTGCTCAAGACAAGAGAGATTTCCGCTCGATGTATTTCCGATTTGTATCGGGCTTGGTGAAAATCGGCGCAACCTAGGTTTGCAATCGGACTGGAGATTGGAAACGGATCATTAGGACTGGCATTAGCAACAATTAAATAGATCTGACGCCGGTAATGGTATTCGAGTCTCCGAGCAACAGCCCAAGTAACGCCGGCGTCTCGCCCCGTTTCGTATCGCAGAGTCTTCTAATACGGGATTTACACTGAGGTGTAATTAGGATCAATTCTAATCGGCGTGAGCGCGAAGCAGTGCCTCGGGTCGGAGTAATCGAGATCGTTATCGAGGGCGACGCGTGTCTGCAAGACAAATCAAATTGTCTTCCCGTGAAACGCGCCGTCACTCATGCAACGAAACGATCATTATGCTAGCATTCTGTGCGGGCATTGTATCTAAATTTCAAAAAACATTCAAACTATCTAGGGTTATCTGTTATTGTTCGAGTGGAAAATTCATCAGCGTAAAAGTGTCCCAACATTTTTCAAGTAATATGTATTTCGATTGGAATGTTTTATGCAAATTGTATCACAGAAAAAAAGGAATCCTTCATTCAAGTATATTTTTATTCTCGAACGCTATTTGATTGATTTAAGCATAGAATGCTCTTTGTAATCACAAATTTTCATTTGCCTTAATAATACATAAGTTTGTGTGAAGTATATTTTATCCTTAAGATATATTCTTGTTTTAAAAATCGCATATGGTAAAAACAAACTTAGTCACATTTGAACTAAGAATTATTATATATATTTGAAAGTACCGCTTATATCCGATGCTCACTTGTCACTTGTCCTTGCAATATTTATAAGTAAATTTCAGTTTCAAGCAAGAATATTTTGCGCTTTGTTTTAGGGATAAATTATCCTTTATCTAAAATTATTTATATTTGGCGCTATTATAAGGATAAAATATACTTGAATCAAGGCATATTTGCATTCGTTCAAGGATACTGTTTTTTCTGTGATTCATTTAATCCTAATTAAAAATCAAAATATCAATAAAAACGTAGATATTTGAGAATCGCCAGACAGAATTTAAAAAAAGGAAGATTCTTATCTTTTTTTAAAACATCAATGTTTTTCGAATGTATTTTTCGAAGCTATTTAAATGACGGTATAAAAATGTCATTTAAATATCTTACGTTATATTTATACCAAAAATCTGCATAGATCGCCGCCAGCAATTGTTTAACTGCACAGAAAAAACAGTATCCTTGAAAGAATGCAAATATGCCTTAATTCAAGTATATTTTATCCTTATAATAGCGCCAAATATAAATAATTTTTGATAAAGGATAATTTATCCTTAAAACAAAGTGCAAAATTAAAATTAGTTATAAAGTATTAGGTATAAAGTTATAAAGTAAAAATTAAAACAAGAATATATCTGAAGGATAAAATATACTTTACACAAACTTATTTATTATTAAGGCAAATGAAAATTTGTGATTACAAAGAGCATTCTATGCTTAAATCAATGAAATAGCGTTCGAGAATAAAAATATACTTGAATCAAGGATTCCTTTTTTTTCTGTGTGTGAAATATAAGGTGTTTCCAAACTTGTGGAGAATACTGTACGTCGAAAAAATTGTCGAGTAATCGTTTCTTTCGATCGATAGCAATATCTAATGTTATCTCAGATTAGCGTTATTGCTCTCATGACAACTTGCCTGCTGTAGTCGATATCACATATATTTTCAAACATATTCGCACAATTGCATGACGAACTTTCCGTATGTAGGACGTTAAACGCGTAGTTCACAAATTAGGTGCGGGTTATACGCTAAATGTGCATTAGGCTGCCATTCGACATCACTGTTTTCACGGGTCATCCGCTTTTAATTAGAAATCCGACTTCCCGTTTGCACGCGGTTTATCCGATGGTCCGTATTTAGCTTCCGTTGCGATTCCGACGTCATTTGTAAGCCTTGCAGCGCAGATGACGAAGAGTAATACTATAGCTTGTCCTTCATTCACAAATGCACAATTTTGGATTTAACTTGTTGAAAGGCGATGAACTTTTAACCGTGCGTGTATGATGTAATCTTGGATTTTTTAAAATATATTTTCATATATGCGACACACGGAATTGGAGTTATTGTATTCTCGATTTTTTCCTGAATGACTCTAGGCAGGAAAGACTAGTCAAAATAACTCCAGATTGAAGCTTTTCAGTACATGCTATGAAAGATGATATCGCTATTTGGTTATAGCTTATCGAGAGCTTCCCGTAACTCTGTTTCGTATTGATTTCCCTACCGAAGCCTCACTTTGGTACATAATATGAACTCTCTCTCTCTCTCTCTCTCACGATAATTATATGCACGATAAATATCAAATCGGTTTTCTTTTTTCTCGAATATTCCGCACGTACAGCTATATACGACGTATGTTTATTTCGCAAGTTTGGCTTGTGGGTTAAAATAAAACTCCCGACGAGGAAAAGTCAGAATAGCGTGTGAGATGGGAAAAATGATGCGCGATGTGGACAGATAGACATTGCTAGGGGCGAATGGTTGTTGAAGTGGCGAGAAAGTTGAATGATCGCGGTCTCGGCTGATATATCTACAATATAGGAAACTTGAGCATTGCCACATATTTCTTATTCGACTTTACGAAAAATGATCTCACGAAATACCGTCGCGATTCAATCACCGTTTGAAATATTCCTAATTTATTTCCACTTTAAGCATATCGATAATAAAACTGAAGCCTTTCATAAATTACTGAGATATTTTACGTTTTCATAACTTTCGCGACTTTCAATTATCATATTTGCATTAATATATTAAATAAATACGGTATTTCTATTCTGCATCAACAAAGTAATTGCGCGACTAAACGTATTTTTCGTTTCTTATTTTTTCCATCAAAAATCCGTGCGATGAAAAAAAAAATGGCAAATATAATATAGTGAACTTTTACGAATTATTTCTCTGAAAAATCTTGGAAGATAAACGCAATCGAGCAATTGGTTCCGTACAATCGACGTTAAAACCTCAATCTCGCGGTAAGAGTTTCATCCATTTGTTCGACGAAGGCTCGCTATATTTTATCGCGTGTTGCAACCGTGCGCGTGTGTACACGTTTCGTCCTCGAAAACAATTAGAAAAGTGCTTTGTTGAAGAGCACCTCACCGAGTTTGCCGGATAATCTCGAATCCATCCGTTGTTTATTATTTTTTTTTTTTTGCTTTCCCCCAAGTTAGCCGTAGTATATGATATACTTTTGCTTTCATAAAGATTACACCCGGTGAGGTAACGACGTCGCGGATTGGAGGAGAAGGGTAAAAACGCGCTATACTCGCGATAAAAACTATAAT